AATTGGATTAAAAATTTTTAAGTTAACAATGAAGAAGAAAATTCCATGCAAAGGATACAAAGTTTCAGTTACACAAGATGAATAAATTCTAGAGAGGTGCTGCACAGGGCAGCACTGTTAGTAAACAAGGCTGTATTATATACTTAATAATCTGCTAAGATCTTGTGTTGTGCTCTTATCACCAGAAAGTAACAAGAATAATAATAAATAAAGAAGGTAAGAGAAAACTTTTGGAGGGGATGGATATGTTTATGACAGAGATTACGACAGTTTCACATGTAAACACTTATCTCCAAACTCATTGTTTTATACATTAAATATGTGCAGCTTTTTGTATGTCAATTATACCTCAATAAAGTGGTCTTAAAAAGAAAAGGAAAAAATATACCAAAATAAATTTTACGATCCTGAAGTGAAGAAGCCTGTGGAAGGCAGACAACAAAGCGAGGAGTCATAGCAGAAACAGGTTCAAGTTTATAAAGATTTAAATCTTCTACATGGAAAAATAGCTTCCATAAACAAACTAAAAAAGAAAAATGACAATTTTTTATAAAAGACTTGAAACATATGTGACAAAGAGATAATGTACTTAATATATATTAAAAAAAAAAACTTACAGAAATTAACAAAGAAGACTTCCCAATGGGCGGAAAAATAGGTAGAGTACCTGAGCAGGCTACTCACAAAAGAGGTCATGCTTCTTTTCTCAGTGCCCTCCTCACTAATAACCAAAGCCGTGAAAATTAAAACAACTTTGAGGCCGATAATATCCAGGGTCATGGCAGTGGTGAAATGGGAACCTGGTAAAGATCCGGGAGATGCGAAATGAGGTGCAAGAATAGGGAAATGAGATGGAAACTGTGGAGAATGGAATCGATAAGTGGAAAGAAAAGGAACCAGGCGAAAAGTCTGATGCAATTAACCTGGAGGCAGCCTAGAAGGCCTTTAGGTCTAGGCATGAAATAGACTTGGATCTGAGTCTTTTCTCTGATGACCGCAAGCTACACAGCCTTGGCAAGTTACTGGAACTCATGATTCATCTATAACTTACAGTACAATTATGAGGACTGAGTAAAATGATACACTGGCCCCGGTCAGCTCCCACTTGCATCCAGCCTCCAAGGTTAGTACAACCGTGTTTACTGATTAGGGCGACTCTCCCTCCTGGCCTTAGCCGTGCGGCCCTGCAAGAGCAGGGCAGGCCTCCTTCGTCCTCTTGCCCCATCCGTAACGCCGTCGGCAAGGCTAACAACGGCGCGCTCCTCCTAGGTTAAAAGCAAAACGGCCAAGGGGAGGTTTCCAGATCTCAGCCTGAGCTGTCTGCTCCAGCAACAGGGAACATTCCCTTCTCGACCAGTGAGGAAGCAAAAGCAGTCAGTTTTGCCAATCACTTTTTCCCTAGGGAGTGCACGATGGGCTATATTCGCCTTGGGTCTTTGGTTATTTTAAGTAATTTTCTTTTCGGTGGGGGCCTTGTGTTTGACTTTTTTAATTCATCACCTTTTATGTACATTTATGAGGTGTTTAGGGGAATCATCGCTCCTGCTGCTACAGCATTCAGAAACCTCCCCACGACTCCTGGGCTGGAAATAAAGTGTGTAATAATATATATGTTCATAAAGACATAAATAAAATGTTTCTTGGGAATGTGTGGTTAGAAAGAAAAAGGGAAAGAGA